TCTCTCTCTCTCTCTCTCTCTCTCTCTCTCTCTCTCTCTCTCTCTCTGGCATGTGCTCCAGTTCATTATTTCCGTCATTTCTTGGTAATTTGGAGTTGGCTGTTTAAAACTTAGAGCCTCTTATTAAGTTTTTGGCCGCGGCGGATAAGAGGCAGGACTGTAAGAGCACGGAGATAAACTAATCATCTTAAAACCCTAATTATTAGTATCTTACTGTGACAGGCTGTTTTCTGCGAGCCAGCCAAATTGAGCTTTTTTTTTTAAATGAGGGAAAGGCATATCTTCACGAGTGGTAATAATTTTAAGTCATCTCGATCTGGCTTGGTGTGGCAGAATTCATTAGTGCAGATTAGCACTGTGTGTACAAAGTAAATGAGATATCTAATGGCAAACGTGGAGGTCCGGGGACTCTTAATTTCCTCCCCGAAATGAGGGAGGATGTGAAGAGTCGATTATTTATACTTTAACATTGTGACTTGTGCTGTGTGGAGTCGTCTGCTCCTTCACCGAGCGGTTACACTAAACAGTGCCACTAAACCGTCCACCTCTCACCTTCCTCTCGGTTTGCCGCTGCAAGAAGGTGACGAGAACGACCCCCCCCAATCAGATTAAACTGTGTGTTGCTCTGATGCAGAGAAAAGCTTGATTTTTTTCTTTTTCCGTGAGGATACGAAGAAAGTTAATTATGTGTGTAAGGAGAAGGTTGGGGGGGGGGGGGGAATAATAAGATTACAAAGAATAATTTGCTGATATAATTACACCAAAATTGGGTACACACAATTGTAAAATACATGTATTGCTTGACCTGGGTTAGCCAGTGAAATAAATCCTCCTTCTATAGCCTTTGTTAATTTGTTTTTATCATCTCCAAGTGGTGTTTGTGCAGGCTGTCCAATTTGCATGTGTAATTCCACTGTGCAAATTGACAACAAGTAGATAATTCGAGGGAAATAGGCTGGTTGCAGGCCCCTGCTATCTTCCCAAGCCTATTCATTTTGAGGAACCGCTGAGGCATGAAACTCATACGTCAACTATTTCCTGACAACGCTGAGGCTTATTGTCCCCTAAAATGTCATTACAGCCATTATTTATGAAGCTAATTCATTTATTAAACCATATTTACTCTGACAGAGTTTGCCACATTCTATCCATATCCGGAGCGTCGCTTTTTTTGAACAATGTCTTTCGGTGAGTATGCACCAACACGCGTACGGTACCTCGCAAAGTTTCCCGAATCGACCCCGTTTGTCACTCATAATAGTTGGAATATTGCGAAAAGAAATGGCTTTGTTCAACTTTTTATGGCAAACACTTATACCTTGTGTCACAGAAGTCCACTAAAAACTGTTTGGTGATAACCTGCCGCCTTTTTTTGTTTTTCTTGTATCTTCGTCCTAACAGAGCGGCGTTACCACGAGCGTAATCAGATGGATTGCAGCTACTTTAGCAGCGCTGATAAATCCCCCCTCTGACAGCCTCCTTCCCAAATGAGTGTGCATTAGTCACTTTCAACGCGTCGCAGTCAGACATCTGGAGCTAAAGAGTTCTCGCGTCGAGCCTCCTGGCCTGTTGCTGCTGACTTTATGGATCTGTCAGTTTAGCGCGGCGCACACTTCATGACAGTGTGGATAATTTGCAATTGTGAGTGATGAAGTAACACACGGGGGGGGGTCATACATTTTAATGTTGCATGTTCGCTCCCGTATAATTCCGTCATAGCATTCTCCCGCCTCTCTTTGGACTTACCTGTCACCCAAACGCACTTATCACAGCAGTGGCGACGAGTTGTGTTTGAACTGTTTTTACAATATTGATTTGGAGGCATGACATTTTAATTAATACTGGGTGTTAGCTGTCATACAGGCAGCCAGCCTCATTGGGTGTAGAGTGTGAGACAGGCGAGGTGGGGGCAGTGAAGATAAGGCTGAAGTATTTAGTGTGAAAAGGCTGTAAAAAGGGATCAATGTGGCGGGAGAGAGACAGTCATGGGGCTGAATTTAAGGTGGAGGAAAAAAAAAAACTCCAGCTCACTATATTTCTGTCAAGGCCTATTCTCTGCCCGATAACACAAATCATGGGGACACAGCGTGGCCTCTGTCTTCCACAGGTTGCAGACTGCGTCGTGCTATTGGGAGTCTGTGTTGCCAGCGTGCTGAGAGACCGGGGGGGGATTTAGGTAACTTTGTAGCACTCCATTGAACAGCAATAAGCTTTTAGGGCTTAGCGAGCATAAACACATTAAACTGATGAGATTCATCAGCACTCTTGTGTCAAATCTGTTGTGCCCACAGGAGGTGGAGCTCACAGCGGCAGCACTCTGCAGGGCGGGAGAGGCGAACCGGTTTCCTGCTTTACCCAGTGCCAGCACTGACACAGGTGACCTCTGACCTATCGGTGTAGCCGAACACATTCAGACACTTTGAACTGCTTGGAAATAGAAAGAGACTTATAGTACAGGGTCAAAACGTTGGATTGATGATTGCGAGTCCTCGCTCCACTTTCTGATAATTGAATTAAAGACGAACTCTATTTAATACGTTAGATAATAGAAAGAGTGTTCAAAATGAGATCACATCCCAAAGTGGTGTCTTGAATCTCTCTTAAATATCTGAATGATCGTTTACTGGAGGATACAGACACGCAGCTAAACAAAGACGAGCTCCACAAACATAACATAGAGCTGCACATTGTCTGCAGTGTGAATAAAGGTTGAGGGACAGAACAATGGAAGACATGTATGAATCATAACTTTCTGTACAGAGGTGGGTTAATGTGCATATTGAGTGTAGATTATTGTAGCCTGTGCAGTCTGCTTCCTCTGTTAGGCGATACAAGGATGCATCTTAGTACACATCATATGATGTGCATATACAGTAATATGCAGATACATTATTTGCTTGTT